GTGGTTGTGGTGGTTGTTAGTGGTTGTGATGGTTGTTAGTGGTTGTGATGGTCGTTAGTGGTTGTGATGGTCGTTAGTGGTTGTGGTGGTCGTTAGTGGTTGTGGTGGTCGCTAGTGGTTGTGATGGTCGTTAGTGGTTGTGGTGGTTGTTAGTGGTTGTGATGGTTGTTAGTGGTTGTGATGGTCGCTAGTGGTTGTGGTGGTTGTTAGTGGTTGTGATGGTTGTTAGTGGTTGTGATGGTCGCTGGTGGCTGTGATGATTGTTAATGGTTGTGATGGTCGCTAGTGGCTGTGATGATTTTTAGTGGCTGTGATGGTTGTTAGTGCTTGTGGTGGTTATTAGTGGCTGTGATGATTGTTAGTGGTTATGATGGTCGCTAGTGGCTGTGATGATTTTTAGTGGTTGTGATGGTCGCTAGTGGCTGTGATGGTCGTTAGTGCTTGTGGTGGTTATTAGTGGCTGTGATGAGTGATAGTGGTTGTGATGGTCGCTAGTGGCTGTGATGGTCGCTAGTGGTTGTGATGTTTGCTAGTAGTTGTGATGTTTGCTAGTGGTTGTGATGGTCGCTAGTGGTTGTGATGGTCGCTAGTGGTTGTGATGGTCGTTAGTGCTTGTGATGTTTGCTAGTGGTTGTGATGTTTGCTAGTGGTTGTGATGTTTGCTAGTGGTTGTGATGGTCGCTAGTGGTTGTGATGTTTGCTAGTGGTTGTGATGTTTGCTAGTGGTTGTGATGGTCGCTAGTGGTTGTGATGTTTGCTAGTGGTTGTGATGTTTGCTAGTGGTTGTGATGTTTGCTAGTGGTTGTGATGGTCGCTAGTGGTTGTGATGGTCGCTAGTTCTTAACCTAACGCTGGTTAAGTAGGGTTCCTATACTTTCCGTTGTGATATTAAATTTAGAAATGAGCTTGAGAATGCTATACTAGAACGAATACCTATAATGTCTGAGATGTGTCGATGCAAGGTTTCATTGTAGTAAAATGCCTGAGATGTGTCGATGCAAGGTTTCATTGTAGTAATATGTAATGCCTGAGATGTGTCGATGCAAGGTTTCATTGTAGTAATATATAATGCCTGAGATGTGTCGATGCAAGGTTTCATTGTAGTAATATATAATGCCTGAGATGTGTCGATGCAAGGTTTCATTGTAGTAATATATAATGCCTGAGATGTGTCGATGCAAGGTTTCATTGTAGTAAAATGCCTGAGATGTGTCGATGCAAGGTTTCATTGTAGTAAAATGAGTGAGATGTGTCGATGCAAGGTTTCATTGTAGTAATATATAATGCCTGAGATGTGTCGATGCAAGGTTTCATTGTAGTAAAATGCCTGAGATGTGTCGATGCAAGGTTTCATTGTAGTAATATGTAATGCCTGAGATGTGTCGATGCAAGGTTTCATTGTAGTAATATATAATGCCTGAGATGTGTCGATGCAAGGTTTCATTGTAGTAATATATAATGCCTGAGATGTGTCGATGCAAGGTTTCATTGTAGTAATATATAATGCCTGAGATGTGTCGATGCAAGGTTTCATTGTAGTAATATATAATGCCTGAGATGTGTCGATGCAAGGTTTCATTGTAGTAATATATAATGTTTGAGATGTGTCGATGCAAGGTTTCATTGTAGTAATATATAATGCCTGAGATGTGTCGATGCAAGGTTTCATTGTAGTAATATATAATGCCTGAGATGGTGTCGATTGCAAGGTTTCATTGTAGTAATATATAATGTCTGAGATGTGTCGATGCAAGGTTTCATTGTAGTAATATATAATGCCTGAGATGTGTCGATGCAAGGTTTCATTGTAGTAATATATAATGCCTGAGATGTGTCGATGCAAGGTTTCATTGTAGTAATATATAATGCCTGAGATGTGTCGATGCAAGGTTTCATTGTAGTAAAATGCCTGAGATGTGTCGATGCAAGGTTTCATTGTTGGACTATTTAACGCAGTTAAGGAACGTGTTGTTTCTATTATTTCTTGGAGACCATTTTTTGAGCAGTAATAAACCCTTTCAGCCCAGTGACCTGACAAAAGAGGAGTGTGGTTAAACTGACTTATTTGAGATGTCCCGTTTTAAACTAAAAATGCCTTTGTCCCTCCAGCGATAGGGCAGTCGCTGAACTCATGCTTAAAGACCCAAAGGTTTAAGGTTCCAGTTTACACCCAGCGCATTGTAACACAAACTTGACTTTGGCTGTCTGGTCGAGTTAACCTAAAACGGGTGCGAGGAAATATCTCCCAAAGTGAAAGCTGTTGGCGAGCTGTTGACCATATCTCCAATCTAGTGGCTGTAAGGTTTCTTCTTAATATTGCGGATCCAGCACCTCGTACAACATTGGCTTTAAATGAGTCCTTGACCTTACTGACAGATCAAGATGACACAGTTATTGAATCTTTCCCTTCTCAGTGTATATTTAACACAAGGGGTACTGTGTTAGTACTCTTGTATTGAGGGACGAAGACCGCTCCGGGAGCCTTATCGGTACTGGCTTGATGCTGTCAGTTGTTGACTGTGAGATGGCTCTCCTTACAGTCAGCAGACGTCAGCGGCAAATGCTGGAGAAATTGCAATACGATGTCATGAGACCGATCCTCGGGTGTACAAGAGAGACCTCATATCACCCCGTACAGTACGTTCTCGACCTCCCAGACATGGACACCAGACACACGAGAGACCTCGTATCACCCCGTACGGTACGTCCTAGGACCGGCCAGACATGGACACTAGACACACGAGAGACCTCGTATCACCCCGTACGGTACGTCCTAGGACCGGCCAGACATGGACACTAGACACACGAGAGACCTCGTATCACCCCGTACGGTACGTCCTAGGACCTCCCAGACATGGACACTAGACACACGAGAGACCTCGTATCACCCCGTACGGTACGTCCTAGGACCGGCCAGACATGGACACTAGACACACGAGAGACCTCGTATCACCCCGTACGGTACGTCCTAGGACCGGCCAGACATGGACACTAGACACAAGAGAGACCTCATATCACCCCGTACGGTACGTCCTAGGACCGGCCAGACATGGACACTAGACACACGAGAGACCTCGTATCACCCCGTACGGTACGTCCTAGGACCGGCCAGACATGGACACTAGACACACGAGAGACCTCGTATCACCCCGTACGGTACGTCCTAGGACCTCCCAGACATGGACACTAGACACACGAGAGACCTCGTATCACCCCGTACGGTACGTCCTAGGACCGGCCAGACATGGACACTAGACACAAGAGAGACCTCATATCACCCCGTACGGTACGTCCTAGGACCAGCCAGACATGGACACTAGACACACGAGAGACCTCGTATCACCCCGTACGGTACGTCCTAGGACCGGCCAGACATGGACACTAGACACACGAGAGACCTCGTATCACCCCGTACGGTACGTCCTAGGACCTCCCAGACATGGACACTAGACACACGAGAGACCTCGTATCACCCCGTACGGTACGTCCTAGGACCGGCCAGACATGGACACTAGACACACGAGAGACCTCGTATCACCCCGTACGGTACGTCCTAGGACCGGCCAGACATGGACACTAGACACAAGAGAGACCTCATATCACCCTTACGGTACGTCCTTGGACCTTCCAGGCATGGACACTAGATACAAGACGATCCAGGCGAAGGCGTACCTTAATGTTGCTGCTGACATTAACCTTGTACAACCTGCAACGGGTGAACAAAGGTAGGCGCCTAAAGAAGGGCTGGTCAAGGATGACGGAAGTAGAGGAAACTATATGAACCTTATTTGCCTATTGGAACACATCAGGGTCGGTACCGAATAGATAGAAATGGCAAAAAGAATGCAAGAGCACATTGAGGTAATAATCCGCCAGGGCAGGTTTTGCAGAGAAGGGAGACAAACAGCCGCTGATGCCGAAATAGAGGCCGTCATCGACGAGCACACTTGAACCGGTGACACTATCGTCTGTATAGATGGCTCAGCGATGGCAAACATCGAATGGTGAGGCGACATTTAGTGTAATTACTTCTAGTATGATACAATGAGCAAGCTTAAGAAGTTCCAAACTGTCGAACCTCAACTAGAATAGATCGACGGCAACCAGAGGTTTCGCCTCAAGAAACTGTACTGAACAGGATACGCCGGCGTGACGAGAAATGAATGGGCCCACAGACTGACCGTGTCTTCAGTCCTTAGAGGAGTCAGAAGTAAATGTAGGCCCGACATACTAAATGTACTGCGTTCCAGTCAAGGTGAGACGATGAACCGTCTCTTGTAAATGGGTATTGAACGAGGAAAACCATGCGAAGACAAACTGCAAGGTAAGGAAAGGAAGATATGTCAGTCAGCTGCATCTGGATGCGTTGAGCACTGGCACGATGTCCGCTGAGAATGGAGAACGCACGGATCAGACTGATATGCTAGGACGTCGACACGGACAACAGGTGACATCTAAGTGTACTATCTGAAAGAACTAACTACACACTGATATACTAGGACGTCGACACGGACAACAGGTGACATCTAAGTGTACTGTCAGAAAGAACTAACTACACACTGATATGCTAGGACGTCGACACGGACAACAGGTGACATCTAAGTGTACTGTCTGAAAGAACTAACTACACACTGATATGCTAAGACGTCGACACGGACAACAGGTTACATCTAAGTGTACTGTCAGAAAGAACTAACTACACACTGATATGCTAGGACGTCGACAGACAGGAAGTGTACTGTCCCTGAAAGAACACACACTGAAAACAGGTGACGGTCATATAAGTGTACTTCTGAAAGAACTAACTACACACTGATATACTAGGACGTCGACACGGACAACAGGTGACATATAAGTGTACTGTCTGAAAGAACTAACTACACACTGATATGCTAAGACGTCGACACGGACACCAGGTGACATCTAAGTGTACTGTCTGAAACAACTTACTACACACTGATATACTTAACTTCTTTCCCCGCTCCAGCTAACAGTCAGCCATGTCGGAATCCATTCTCCTGCAACATAGAAAGTCTTCCTCCAAAGATGTCCTTCTCGAGCCGCTGACCAGGAGCCAGTCAGTGCCGCTACTGCCCAGAGAGGATGTGTTCACACACTACACCACACCGGTGGCTGGAGTGCCCTCGCTGCTGTTCTTCTGTCTGCAAGTGACTCGCGACTTCCTGTCATTTGTCATCAGGGCTGGTCTGAGCACCATGATGTTTGTGATGAACCTGCTGCTTCGGCTGGTTCTCTTCATCACAGAAATCTGGCTCAATATACCAGGTATACACGCTGACCGTTAGGAGATACTCGGTACAACACGCTGACTGTTAGGAGATACTTGGTACAACACGCTGACCGTTAGGAGATACTCGGTACAACACGCTGACCGTTAGGAGATACTTGGTACAACACAGTGACCGTTAGGAGATACTCGGTACAACACGCTGACCGTTATGAGATACTTGGTACAACACAGTGACCGTTAGGAGATACTCGGTACAACACGCTGGCCGTTAGAAGATACTTGGTACAACACGCTGATTGTTAGGAGATACTCGGTACAACACGCTGACCGTTAGGAGATACTTGGTACAACACAGTGACCGTTAGGAGATACTTGGTACAACACGCTGACCGTTAGGAGATACTCGGTACAACACGCTGACCGTTAGGAGATACTTGGTACAACACGCTGACCGTTAGGAGATACTCGGTACAACACGCTGACCGTTAGGAGATACTCGGTACAACACGCTGACCGTTAGGAGATACTCGGTACAACACGCTGACCGTTAGAAAATACTTGGTACAACACAGTGACCGTTAGAAAATACTCGGTACAACACGGTGACCGTTAGAATATACTCGGTACAACACACTGACCTTTAGGAGATACTCGGTACAACACGGTGACCGTTAGGAAATACTCGGTACAACACGCTGACCGTTAGGAGATACTCGGTACAACACAGTGACCGTTAGTAGATACTCGGTACAACACGGTGACCGTTAGGAAATACTCGGTACAACACGCTGACCGTTAGGAGATACTCGGTACAACACGCTGACCGTTAGGAGATACTCGGTACAACACGCTGACCGTTAGGAGATACTCGGTACAATACAGTGACCGTTAGGAAATACTCAGTACAACACAGTGACCGTTAGAAAATACTCGGTACAACACAGTGACCATTAGGAAATACTCGGTACAACACAGTGACCATTAAAAAAATACTCGGTACAACATGCAGACCATTAAGAAATACTTTTTACAACACGCTGACCGTTAGGAAATACTGGGTACAACACGCTGACCGTTAGGAGATACTCGGTACAACACGCTGACCGTTATGAGTACTTGGTACAACACAGTGACCGTTAATAGATACTCGGTACAACACGCTGAACGTTAGGAGATACTTGGTACAACACGCTGACCGTTAGGAGATACTCGGTACAACACGCTGACCGTTAGGAGATACTCGGTACAACACGCTGACCGTTAGGAGATACTCGGTACAATACAGTGACCGTTAGGAAATACTCAGTACAACACAGTGACCGTTAGAAAATACTCGGTACAACACAGTGACCATTAGGAAATACTCGGTACAACACAGTGACCATTAGAAAATACTCGGTACAACATGCTGACCATTAAGAAATATGTTTTACAACACGCTGACCGTTAGGAAATACTCGGTACAACACGCTGACCGTTAGGAGATACTCGGTACAACACGCTGACCGTTAGGAGATACTTGGTACAACACGGTGACCGTTAGGAGATACTCGGTACAACACGCTGACCGTTAGGAGATACTTGGTACAACACAGTGACCGTTAGGAAATACTCGGTACAACACGCTGACCGTTAGGAGATACTTGGTACAACACAGTGACCGTTAGGAGATACTTGGTACAACACAGTGACCGTTAAGAGATACTCGGTACAACACGCTGACCGTTAGGAGATACTTCGTACAACACAGTGGCCGTTAGGAGATACTCGGTACAACACGCTGACCGTTATGAGTACTTGGTACAACACAGTGACCGTTAATAGATACTCGGTACAACACGCTGAAAGTTAGGAGATACTTGGTACAACACGCTGACCGTTAGGAGATACTCGGTACAACACGCTGACCGTTAGGAGATACTCGGTACAACACGCTGACCGTTAGGAGATACTAGGTACAACACACTGACCGTTAGGAGATACTCGGTACAACACACGCTGACCGTTAGGAGATACTCGGTACAACACGACTATACCGTTAGGATATACACACACGGTGACCGTTAGGAAATACTCGGTACAACACGCGTGACCGTTAGAATATACTCGGTTACAACACGCTGACCTTTAGGAAATACTCGGTACAAACACTGTGACGTTAGGAAATACTCGGTACAACACACGTTAGAGGAGATACTCGGTACAGCACGGTGACCGTTAGGAGATACTCGGTACAACACGCTGACCGTTAGGAGATACTTGGTACAACACGCTGACCGTTAGGAAATACTCGGTACAACACAGTGACCGTTAGAAAATACTCAGTACAACACAGTGACCGTTAGAAAATACTCGGTACAACACAGTGTACCATTAGGGGGGGGACTTACAGGAAATACCGGTACAACACAGTGACCGTTAGGAAATACTCGGTACAACACGTGACCGTAGGAATTACTCGGTACAACACGCAGTGACTGTGGAAATACTCGGTACAACACGCTGACCGTTAGGAGACCTCCGGGTACAACACAGTGACCGTTAGGAAATACTCGGTACAACACGCGTGACCGTTAGGAGGATACTCGGTACAACACGCTGACCGTTAGGAAATACTCGGTACAAACACGCTGACCGTTAGGAAATACTGGGTACAACACGCTGACCGTTAGGAGATACTCGTACTCGGTACAAGTACAGTGACAACACAGTTAGGAAATACTCGGTACAACACGCTGACCGTTAGAAAATACTCGGTACAACACGCTGACCGTTATACTCGGTACAAACACGCTGACCGTTAGGAAATACTCGGTACAACACGCTGACCGTTAGGAAATACTCGGTACAACACAGTGACCGTTAGGAAATACTCGGTACAACACGCTGACCGTTAGGAGATACTCGGTACAACACTGTGACCGTTAGGAAATACTCGGTACAACACGCTGACCGTTAGGAAGATACTCGGTACAACACAGTGACAACACGTTAGGAATACTTCGTACGTTATACCGAAATACTCGGTACAACACTGTGACCGTTAGGAAATACTCGGTACAAACACGCTGACCGTTAGAAAGATACTCGGTGTACAACACGCTGACCGTTAGGAGATACTCGGTACAACACGGTGACCGTTAGGAGATACTCGGTACAACACAGTGACCGTTAGGATACTCGGTACAACACGCTGACCGTTAGGAGATACTCGGACAAATACTGACCGTAGGAGCAATACTTGGTACAACACGCTGACCGTTAGAGATACTCGGTACAATAAGTGACCGTTAGGAAATACTCAGTACAACACAGTGACGTTAGGAAATACTCGGTACAACACAGTGACCTTATGAAATACTCGGTACAACACAGTGACCATTAGAAAATACTCGTTACAACACGCTGACCATTAGGAAATACTCGGTACAACACGCTGACTGACCGTTAGGAAATACTCGGTACAAACACACAGTTAGGAAATACTGACCAGTTACAAATACTCGGTACAAATACTCGTTAGAAAATACTCGGTACAACACGCTGACATTAGAAAATACTGTTACAACATTGACCTTTTAGGAAATTACTCGGTACAACACGCTGACCGTTGAAATACTGTTAGCAAATACTCGGTACAACACTCTGACCATTAGGAAATACTTAGTACAACATTCTGACTGTTAGGAAATACTCGGTACAACACTCTGACCATTAGGAAATACTTAGTACAACACGCTGACCGTTAGGAAATACTCGGTACAACACTCTGACCATTAGGAAATACTCGGTACATCACGCTGACTGTTAGCAAATACTCGGTTTAACAGTGACCGTACAGTAAAACTTGATACACTGACCGGTACTTAATGCTCGGTACAACACAGTGACCATTAAGTAATACTTGGTACAACACAGGGACAATATAGTAATACTTGGTACAACACAGTGATCATTAATTAATACTTGGTTCAACACAGTGACCGTTAATTATTACTTGGTACAACACAGTGATCATTAATTAATACTTGGTACAACACAGGGACCATATAGTAATACTTGGTACAACACAATGATCATTAATTAATACTTGGTACAACACAGTGATAATTAATTATTACTTGGTACAACACAGTGACCGTTAATTAATACTTGGTACAACACAGTGACCATTAATTAATACTTGGTACAACACAGGGACCATATTGTAATACTTTGTACAACACAGTGATTATTAATTAATACTTCGTACAACACAGTGACCGTTAATTAATACTTGGTACAACACAGTGACCGTTAATTATTACTTGGTACAACACAGTGATCGTTAATTATTACTCGGTACAAACAATGACTAGAGACCTCAACGAAGGGATTAGAAAGGATGCGCACAAATATTACAGAACGTTTCGATGAAAGTTTTTATCAATGGATGTCTTTTTTTTTATTCCGATTATACTGAACCTGTTTACTGCTAAAGCCGATGTTTAGCCAGGTCAGAATCGCATTTCCAGCAGCAGCAACAACAGGCGTCCTCCACAGATGCATTCCGAGATCAACTAAATGATACCATACTGTAAACTGTGCCCGCTGATGAATACTTTGGTCGAGATGTCTGGTTTTATTCTAAGGCATCTGTTTTGATTTCTCTGGCTGAGGTTTCTAGTCCCTGTTTATTTTCTATTTAGTTGCTTCCGGCACTATCCCGACAGTAGTCACTCTGTTTTACATGGCCCCTTAGTTTTGCCAAAATGACCTATTACTGCCTTTATTTACCACTTTTGCGGCAGCGGACTTTTTCGAGACTGAGGTTTTAACGCTGCATAACTAGTGCTGTCGCCACGACTGTGCAGATGAGGATTATTTTTTGGCTCCAGACAGAAACATACACAGAGGATTCGAATCCGGGTCTCCCGCAAGAGACCCTAGCTTTCTAACCGTTCAGCCAGCCGCTCCTCTCTTAGTTTTGCATTGTTATAATATTGTTATGTGTGTTTGCCCGATATTATACTACCAGTGTCAAACATGGATGCTCACTACAATAAATGAATCGACAATCATAACAGCAGCGATGAGATTATTTACCAGAGCTACTAAAGAACTAACCATATCTGAGGTGAGACGTTTGGACACCACAGAACTGACCATATCTGAGGTGAGACGTTTGGACACCACCGAACTAACCATATCTGAGGTGAGACGTTTGGACACCACAGAACTAACCATATCTGAGGTGAGACGTTTGGACACCACAGAACTGACCATATCTGAGGTGAGACGTTTGGACACCATAGAACTAACCATATCTGAGGTGAGACGTTTGGACACCACAGAACTGACCATATCTGAGGTGAGACGTTTGGACACCATAGAACTAACCATATCTGAGGTGAGACGTTTGGACACCACAGAACTAACCATATCTGAGGTGAGACGTTTGGACACCACAGAACTGACCATATCTGAGGTGAGATGTTTGGACACCACAGAACTAACCATATCTGAGGTGAGACGTTTGGACACCACAGAACTGACCATATCTGAGGTGAGATGTTTGGACACCACAGAACTGACCATATCTGAGGTGAGATGTTTGGACACCACAGAACTAACCATATCTGAGGTGAGACGTTTGGACACCACAGAACTGACCATATCTGAGGTGAGACGTTTGGACACCACAGAACTAACCATATCTGAGGTGAGACGTTTGGACACCACAGAACTAACCATATCTGAGGTGAGACGTTTGGACACCACAGAACTAACCATATCTGAGGTGAGATGTTTGGACACCACAGAACTGACCATATCTGAGGTGAGACGTTTGGACACCACAGAACTGACCATATCTGAGGTGAGACGTTTGGACACCATAGAACTAACCATATCTGAGGTGAGACGTTTGGACACCACAGAACTGACCACTGAGGTGAGACGTTTTGGACACCACAGAACTAACCATATCTGAGGTGAGACGTTTGGACACCACAGAACTAACCATATCTGAGGTGAACGTTGGACACCACAGAACTAACCATATCTGAGGTGAGACGTTTGGACACCACAGAACTAATCATATCTGAGGTGAGATGTTTGGACACCACAGAACTAACCATATCTGAGGTGAGATGTTTGGACACCACAGAACTAACCATATCTGAGGTGAGATGTTTGGACACCACAGAACTAACCATATCTGAGGTGAGACGTTTGGACACCACAGAACTAACCATATCTGAGGTGAGACGTTTGGACACCACAGAACTAACCATATCTGAGGTGAGACGTTTGGACACCACAGAACTAACCATATCTGAGGTGAGACGTTTGGACACCACAGAACTAACCATATCTGAGGTGAGATGTTTGGACACCACAGAACTGACCATATCTGAGGTGAGATGTTTGGACACCACAAAACTGAACCATAACAGAACTGACCATATCTGAGGTGAGATGTTTGGACACCACAGAACTGACCATATCTGAGGTGAGACGTTGGACACCACAAAACATATCGGAGGTTTTGGACACCACAGAACTGACCATATCTGAGGTGAGACGTTGGACACCACAGAACTAATCATGTCTGAGGTGAGACGTTTGGACACCACAGAACTGACCATATCTGAGGTGAGATGTTTGGACACCACAGAACTGACCATATCTGAGGTGAGATGTTTGGACTGACCACAGGAGATGTTTGGACACCACAGAACTGACCATATCTGAGATGTGAGATGTTTGGAGATGTTTGGACACCACAGAACTAACCATATCTGAGGTGAGATGTTTGGACACCACAGAACTGACCATATCTGAGGTGAGATGTTTGGACACCACAGAACTGACCATATCTGAGGTGAGATGTTTGGACACCACAGAACTAACCATATTTGAGTGAGATGTTTGGATAACACTGAACTAACCATATCTAAGTGAGATGTTTGGATAACACTGAACTAACCATTTCTGAGTGAGATTTTTAGATAGCAAAGAACTAACCATATCTGAGCGAGATGTTTGGATAGTACGGAACTAAGCATATCTGAATGAGATGTTTGGATAGTACGGAACTAAGCATATCTGAATGAGATGTTTGGATAGCACAGAACTAAGCATATCTGATTGGAATGTTTGGATAACACAAAACTAAGCAAATCTGTTATGAGGTGTTTGGATAGCACAAAACTAAGCATATCTGAATGAGATGTTTGGATAGTACGGAACTAAGCATAGCTGAATGAGATGTTTGGATAACACAGAACTGACAATATATGAGTGAGATGTTTGGATAGCACGGAACTGACAATATATGAGTAAGATGTTTGGATAGCACAGAACTGACAATATATGAGTAAGATGTTTGGATAACACAGAACTGACAATATATGAGTAAGATGTTTGGATAGCACAGAACTGACAATATATGAGTAAGATGTTTGGATAGCACAGAACTAAGCATATCTGATTGGAATGTTTGGATAACACAAACTAACCATATCTGTTATGACGTGTTTGGATAACACAAAACTAACCATATCTGTTATGAGATGTTTGGATAGCACAAAACTAAGCATATCTGAATGAGATGTTTGGATAGCACATAACTGACAATATCTGAGTGAGATGTTTGGTTAAGAGTGAGACAAAAACCTGAATAGATCGTGTCTTGAGAATTACAGACACTTAAAGAGCTACTGCAACAGTTCTCGTGGTTAAATTCGTTCCTGTGCGGGCTCAGTCCTTCCTATACAGCAGCCATAGAATAGTCAGCCTGCTGACAGTTTTCGTAACAGGCTGATTTCAGTGTGTCCTGTCTTGACCCAAAAGAACCTTTAGAAACGTTTATCCCAGCGTTACACCCAGGACACATAGTCGGGTTAACCTCATATACTGGTCGTCATCCACGAGCTTAGTAGGACAGAAGATATATGTCTGCAGTGCCACTGTGTTAGGAGTGATGGTTCAGGCACTAGACTCTTGCATGATGACTCCAGGCCCTCACCACTGTGTCAGGAGACGCGATAGTTCAGGCCTTAGACTCTTGCATGATGACTCCGTGCCCTTGGGCTCTATCCTGCGTCTAGCGTATTTGTAAGAAATATTCCTTGTCTCTCAGGCCACCCCAGCTTCTGGTGGATATCGGGCATTGTCCTGGAAAGTAAACGCTTCCATTTGGCCTTGGCAACACCATCCAGTCAGTGCCGATTAATCTTCATTCAGACTTTAAGTTAGTAACCAATCTCACCAGTGAGCTAAGTAGGGTCTTTTCCATGCTTGTTTTTGAGCACATTCTAACAGACTGGATGTTTTTAACCCTTACAGGGAGCTTTCTCGTTACGGCCGTTGTTCGATTCGCTATGTGGAGTTTTCAGATCTTACTGTGGGCCACCTACACGGCTGTGGAACTACTGTTCTACCTGCCGACCCCCTTGTTGGTCGTCTACCTGGTGATCATTGCCTCGCTCTACTACACGATGCCTGGGGCCGTGGAGGCGTTGTTGCACAGCGTGTGGTGGATGGTGGAGCACTTCTTCAAGTTTCTGGCCTACTTCGCTTACACGAACTCTGGGAAATCATAGAATGGTGAATAAATTCCCATGTATTGATTTACACTTATAGAAACGAATGTAGAGGCTGGAGTACACAAGAGAATATAACCACTAAAGGCTATAGTTACATTACTAAGGATCGAACCTGTCGCCTCTATGTGACGATGCTACGTGACTCATGACCAGTTATTGGTTCCTAGGAATCAAATTATGTCGTTGTTGTCGTTGTTGTTGTGTCAGGATATTGCTGTCGTTATAGTAGTTGTTGCTGTGTCAGTATGTTGCTGTAGTTGTTGTTGTTTCAGTATGTTAAGGTTGTCGTTGCTGTGTCATGATGTTGTTGTAGTTGTTGTTGCGGTGTCAGCATGTTGCTGTAGTTGTTGTTGTGACAGGATGTTGCTGAAGTTGTTGTTGTGTCAGGATGTTGCTGTAGTTGTTGGTGTGTCAGTATGTTGCTGTAGTTGTTGTTGTGTCAGTATGTTGCTGTAGTTGTTGTTGTGTTAGTATGTTGCTGAAGTTGTCGGTGTGTCAGGATGTTGTGTCAGGATTACGCTGACCATTGGTCGACTAGGATACCGCGTGTGGCAGGCTGGCTAGCATAATTACCTCCCAGCACAGAGGTCTGGTCCCGTTTTATGATGGTCCTCTTGTAACTTGCCAGAGTGTATCAGAGAGTATAAACAACGTTAGACCCCCACTCCCCCTCCCCCGTTTCCCCTAAACTGGCTCCTGGACGCTTCTGTTGTTGCCTCTGTCCATCGTTTTCACTGTTAGCCTCTTCTTCGTTTTCCATGTTGTCTCTACCTTGCCGGTTGTGCTGCAGTTTCTGTTGGCAGCCGAGTTTATTGGTCCAACTATATATTTCGTTTGTTGTTTTTAATGAATTATATCACTAAAACCCTCACATCTTCCGCATATCATCATGTCTGATCTCTTCTCTCCATCAAATGTATCTAGTACTCATAAATATAAAAAGATCGTGACGTCTGTCTGTCTGTCTGTCTGTCTGTCTGTCTGTCTGTCTGTCTGTCTGTCTGTCTGTCTGTCTGTCTGTCTGTCTGTCTGTCTGTCTGTCTGTCTGTCTGTCTGTCTGTCTGTCTGTCTGTCTGTCTGTCTGTCTGTCTGTCTGTCTGTCTGTCTGTCTGTCTGTCTGTGTAGACGCCTAATGTAGACCTAGAGTAACTGCTGCCGCTAGGAGTGGAGTGTTGGGCGCTTACACATTCTAGCTCACAATCTGTGAGGTAGGGTGGCCATTTCCCTTCACAGTTACCTTAGGCCATGTATGTGTGCGTATGTATGTGTGTGATATATTGTTGCGCACGTAAAAATCAAAAAGAGTAGCCTAACGGCGCTGCCCGGGCAAAATGTGCAGTTAAAAATCTACACAAAGTATTTCAGGATCCTCGCCAGTGGTACGGAGTTCGTGCACGGCGCTGAGATTCTTAGGACTCAGATTTGAGTGAAAAGTAGAACGGAGCACTTTAAGGTTACTCTACCCTTGTGCCATAATGTTGATCCGTTGTTTCAACCTTTAGGTAAGGTAGACCTGAAGTGTACCGGCTTATGTAGACCTGCTGTGTACCGGCTGATGTGGACCTGCAGTGTACCGGCTGATGTGGACCTGCAGTGTACCGGCTGATGTGGACCTGCAGTGTACCGGCTGATGTGGACCTGCAGTGTACCGGCTGATGTGGACCTGCAGTGTACCGGCTGATGTGGACCTGCAGTGTACCGGCTGATGTAGACCTGTAGTGTACCGGCTGATGTAGACCTGCAGTGTACCGGCTGATGTAGACCTACAATGTACCGGCTGATGTAGACCTTCAGTGTACCGGCTGATGTAGACCTACAGTGTACCGGCTGATGTAGACCTACAGTGTACCAGCTGATGTAGACCTACAGTGTACCGGCTGAAGTAGACCTGCAGTGTACCGGCTGAAGTAGACCTGCAGTGTACCGGCTGAAGTAGACCTGCAGTGTACCGGCTGATGTAGACCTGTAGTGTACCGGCTGATGTAGACCTGCAGTGTACCGGCTGATGTAGACCTATAGTGTACCGGCTGATGTAGACCTACAGTGTACCGGCTGATGTAGACCTACAGTGTACCGGCTGATGTAGACCTACAGTGTACCGGCTGAAGTAGACCTGCAGTGTACCAGCTGAAGTAGACCTGCAGTGTACCGGCTGATGAATACCTGTAGTGTACCGGCTGAAGTAGACCTGCAGTGCTGCTGTATATCTGTGGTAATTATTGCTGCAAGCAAATGGTGGCCGGGAAGGGGGGGGGGGGGTGGAGAAGCATTCTAGGCTACAATCTCTGATGGTTCCTGTCATGGTCGCCTTTCCTGCTAAGACTTGTTCTAGCTAATTGTGGAAATTATATGACCAGCCACAAGATCAGATCTGACAGAGGTATCAGGAAATATTCTTAGAACTAAAGAAGGGCCGGCCGGTTTTTTTTTACCTCTTGACCCATAGTTGCCTTTTGACCAGTAATATGTTGACCAAATAGGATAGATATATGCCCAATATACGTTCTCGATGTGGAAAATGGTGTTTTGTTTATTTTTCGTGCGCATATAGATATTGTTTTACATTTGCCGCGTTTAGCCGTTGTTACTCTTGTGCGCTTTTAGGGGTTGTTTTACAACTCCCGCATATGGACGTTGTGTCTACCTTTCGCGTGGGTATAGAGGACGTGTTTACCCTTCGTGCGCGTATAGCCGTTTTGTTTACCTTTTGTGTGCATATAGCCGTTTTTTTACCCTATGTGTGCGACTAGCCGTTGTGTTTACCTTTCTTACGGGTATAGATGTTATTTACCTGTTTCATGTGAACATGCAAATTTTTGTTTACCCCTATTTCGCGTATTCTGTCTGTGTTTTGTTTACCTCCCTATTTTTGTGTATACTGTCTGTGTTTTGTTTACCTCCCTATTTTTGTGTATTCTGTCTGTGTTTTGTTTACCCTACCCCTATGTCGCGTATTCTGTCTGTGTTTTGTTTACCTCCCTATATTTGTGTATTCTGTCTGTGTTTTGTTTACCCTACCCCTATTTCGCGTATTCAGTCTGTGTTTTGTTTACCTCCCTTTTCGTGTATTCTGTCTGTGTTTTGTTTATCTCCCTATTTTGCGTATTCTGTCTGTGTTTTGTTTATCTCCCTATTTTGCGTATTCTGTCTGTGTTTTGTTTTCACGTTGTGTTTACTTTTTGTGACTATAAGTGACTTGTTTATATTTTTCGTCTGTGTGTGACTATTTTTGTTTACCTGTTTTGTGTGTGTGTGTGCGTGTATCAATGTTTACGATGCTTCTATGAAATAAAAACATATTGTTTGTCTACAGTAACATTCTTTTACGGCAGTTTTGTTTGTCTACAGTAACATTGTTTTACGGCAGTTTTGTTTGTCTACAGTAACATTGTTTTACGGCAGTTTTGGTTTGTCTACAGTAACATTGTTTTACGGCAGTTTTGTTTGTCTGTGTGCTGGCTCTTAGCTCTTCTGTAAAAGCCCCTCAGTTCAGCCGAATTTTTTCTGTCGTTTGTTGTTTCCATTTTATGTATCTTTGCAGTCTGTCTGCCTGCCTGTTTTGTCTAACAGTGCCCCTCGATTGTATACCTTTCTCTTCAAACTGTCTGTATTCATCTCTCAATTGTGTGGTATATTCAGATCCTACCCCAAACAGGGGAAATCCACAGGTCCCTTGACAGTCACATATTTCAGGCGGTAGTAGATAGGCTGCATGCAGTCCTGGTACCTAGGCTACATGCAGTTGTTGCACCTAGGCTGTACTCTCTCGTAGGACGTAGGTGGGTTGGGATTAGGCCAGTTCTAGATGTTTTGGGTTGTTGAAAGCATCAGCAAGCTGGGAAACGCAGTCTTACGTCTATCTCAAATGTTGAACTGTCCTGTGACGTCATATGGGGGTAGGATATTATTAGAGAACACTCGATTGTATGCCTGTCTTTTTATTCTTCTTCTTCTTCAGCGATCTCTGGTCATGCGCATAATCCACTGTGGGTCATAAACTGGGATGTCTTTTCAAGGTCTCTTAGGTTTCCCCAAATCTTAGTTGTCAGTTCTACTGGGTGTTGCCATATGTCGCTCCGCAGCTCCGCCAGAAGAGGACAGTCTTGCAGGACATGTTCTGGAGTCTGTTCAGCACGAAGACACTGGCAGAGAGCTGTTTGGCTCATACCTAATTTATATGAGTGTTTATTGAGTCTACAGTGTCCAGTGCGTAAGCGAAAAACTGTGACTTGGTCTGTTCTGTTCAAGTGCCTCAGAAAATCTTTTCCGTAGTCAACCAGTGTTGTTTTTCCAATCTGTTTCTGATTTTCTCTTAATGAGAGTTTTGACTTCTGGAAAAGATAGTGGCTGGTAGGTCTGTAGTTTGTTACTGCCTTCCTTGGCTAAAGCATCTGCGCTTTCATTGCCTTTGATGCCGCAGTGAGACGGAATCCACTGCAAGTGAATTTCTGCCTTATTTGACAACATAGCAAGTTCCTGTGTTATACTTTGTAGTGTGCTGTCGGTAGGTTTGGACTCAAGGGCCTGTACAGCTGACAGTGAGTCAGTGAGAAAAACTATCCTGCCTGCGGTGATTTGCAGATTGTTCATATACTGTGCTGCCATCAATAGAGCTGAGAGTTCTGCCTTGTAGTTAGAGCAAGTTCGTCCGGTGGGGGCTGCTAGGGACACAGTAGTGGCATCTGGGTGTTTTATGTAGACACCTGCCCCACCATTCGTAGTTGCCTCTTTTGCTGATCCATCCGTGTAGATTCTTGGCCAGCTGTCCTGTGGGAACATGTTGTTGAGGTGTTCCATTGTGAGTGCTTTCTTCACTAAAGCGGGCTCAGCATCTTTGTTTCCCAGGTTCGGGATGGATGTTGACACATTGAGTGTCAATAATTCAGAGTCCCAGAGATCGAACGATAGCTCTTCAGGTGTACATTGTTGGTTAAGTAGTGAAGAGAATGACTTTCCAAATTCCTTCGTTAGATGGTTTAGGCTTGTGCGCTTTATTC